ATGTTACGGCGGCAGGAGGAGCTAGAGAATGGGACAGCGTGGTCCCTGTCATCTGAATCTTCAGATGACTCATCCAGCCCACAGCTCTCAGGCACTGCCCGACATTCATCAACTCCCAAGCCCTTGGTGCAACAGCCGGAGCCCCTGCCCATCCAAGTTGCCTTCCGAAGGCCAGAGACTCTCACCTCCGGTTCTGTGGATGAAGAGCCCGTGGTGGCTCCAGCCCTGGTCAATGGGCATACCCCTTACAGCCGGACTCTCAGCCACATCAGCGAAGCCAGTGTGGATGCTGCCCTGACTGAGGCTGTGGAAGCTGTCGGCTCAGAAAGCCTAACTCCAGGACCCAGTCCACTTGCATACCCAGATTCCACCCACGTGGAGCACCTCAGTAGTGTTCCTCCTGGTCTAGACACTGGCCGTTCCGCCACCAGACCCACCCCAAGTACAGCTGGCCCTGCCCCCACATTTATAGACCCTGCGTCATCTGCACAGCTAGACTTAGTTCACAGAGCCACAGACTCGGACCCTTCTGAGTTGCCAAGCCTCACCCAGGCGAGCTCTACCTACAGTGCTGTAAGCCCTGGCAACTGTGTTCCGAGCCTAACCTCCACTGCTACGGATTCCACCCACAAACCCATGCCCTCTACCCTCACCACTACAGGCTCTGTCCCCAGTGCTACAGACCCAGTCCAGGCCACCCCAAGCCCTACTCACGCTACCCCAAGTCTCACGCACACCACTATAAGCCTCACCCACACTACTGCGAGCCCTGCACACAGCACTCCAAGCCCCACGCACACGACCCCAAGCCCTACCCACACCACTGTAGGTCCCACTTGCACCACTCCAGGCCCCACCACTGCCCCTCCAAGCCCCAGTCACAGTACCACTAGCCCTACTGGAAAAACGGGGATGTCAACAACTCATACCACTACAAGTCACACCACTAACGCCGTGGGCCCAGTCCAAACCACTACCAGCCCCATTTCTACAACTGAAAGCCCTGCCCCTTCTGTAGACCTTGCTACAATTTCTAGCTCCTCTGCAGACCCCCTACTCCCAGGCACTGAACCTCTGCCTTGCAGTCACCCAGCCTCCACTCCCTCCACTCACACAAACCCCACAGCGCCCTCCACCTCTCACCAGAGTCTTGCTTGTTCTGATCCCGAGTCCCTCACAAGCCCTGCCCCAAACTCCCCAGAACAAATCCTTAAGAGCCCGAGTTCCTCTCCCTCATCCATAGTCCCTGCACCCCAACATTCGGAACCTAGCCTGGCCACAGCTGCTCAAGCCCCAGTCCCCGAAGCAGCTGGAGGCGCTGGAGACAAAAGGCTTGAAGAGGCCCTGGGGACCCTAATGGCTGCCCTGGATGACTATCGTGGTCAGTTCCCTGAGCTGCAGGGCCTGGAGCAGGAGGTGACCCGACTGGAGAGTCTGCTCATGGTAAGGAGGCTGGGCCGGGCCGGGCTGAGGCAGCACAGAGAGAGCTGCCAGCCAGCGGCAGTAGCTCTGACCCCCTGTACCATCAGCAGAGACAAGGCCTGACTAGGAGCCGGGCCTCCAGTCTTAGCATCACTGTGGAACATGCCCTGGAGAGCTTCAGTTTCCTCAATGACGATGAAGACGAAGACAATGATGGTCCTGGGGCCAGGTAAGGGGGCCAGGCAAGGCAAGACTGGGAACTAGTTGGGCAGGGAGAGATGAAGGGGAGGGGGTGAAGCAATGTAAGGCAGAGGAGGAGCAGGTGGGCTGGGGGAAAGGCAAGATGGAAACTGGTGAGGTGGGGCCGGGTAGAATACGTGAGGATGGGCGTGTGGCGCAAGTGCAGTTGTGTGTTTTCCTTGTATACCTCATGTGTCTTTGATGCCCATGTCACCAACTCCATCCATCCCAGTGTTTCTGGCCACCCTGCTCATCTCTGCAATGTCTACCTCCCCTGCAAGTCCCCATCAGCTTGTGAGCCTCCTGCCTCTCTTCTTTCCCTTGACCTCATCTTGGACTCACCCCGTGAAGGAGCTCTTTCAGTGCCTCCCCATGTACCCCGTGTCCCTCGGTATCAGCCCCCTCCATCACGACCCCGACTCTCCCGGAGACCCCGGCCTCTCAGCTCTCATTCCTGGAGCAGACTTTACCGTTTCCGATTTGAGAGTCGCACCCGGTCCCTCCTTCCTTCACGACTCCCTAGGTTCCAGTCCCAAGCCCTGCGTCCCTTGCCGTCCGCATTTTATAGACCATCCCGCCTGCAATGCTACTGGCGCCCATCTCGGGCCCGGCAGCCCCTTTGGTCTTAGCAAGGGTTGCAAAAGGTTGACTATAAAGACCCATGCTACTCATTGCTGGTTACAGCCTCATCCTCCTGGAAGTCCTCTGTGAACTTACCTGCTGTCTGTGTCTGCACGTTGTTCTGCCATTCTGGGTGGGAGGAGCTTAATAAAAATAATCTCTGGTGACCAGAGGTGATGTGTGTTGTTGGGGTGTTTGATTCCATTTTCTTCTCAGGCCCACAAGCAGCCCAGAGGCTGTGGCAGAGGACAGATTAGACTCATCAAATGCCCAGTCCCTAAGCACAGGGTGTCCAGCCCTGGATGCTACCTTGGTCCAGCACCTGTATCACTGCAGCCGCCTCCTGCTGGTGAGGGGATAATACCCTCCCCCCCTTGCCCCAGGGAGCCCTGCACTCCAAACCTCCCCTCTAAACCTCTCAGTCCCACACACCAATGCCCCAGGGTCCTGGCATTTGGCTTCTACTGAATATAATACCTCCTATACCCTTCCTATTTCAGCCTCTCCCAATGCATGCTGGGACCTGTACTCCCCTGACCCATCCCCCCAGCCACCCTTACCATGAGGTCTAAATTACTTGGCAACCCCTGTCCTCTAGAAACTGGGCACATTTGGGCCCCTACGCTGCCAGGAGGCATGGGCCCTAGAGCGGCTGCTGAGGGAAGCCCGCGTGCTTGAGGAAGTGTGTGAGCGCAGCAAGCTGTGGGGGAACCCAGTCACTTCTGCCCAGGAAGGTAAAGGCCTCCTGGGCTTGGGCTGTGACGTCCTCCAGTGGAGTTCATGCCTGCCCCTCCTGCCTGACCTGCTCCGTTGCTGATGCTCTTCCTCACTCCTCACAGTGGTGCAGTTCTCTGCCTCCCGGTCCGGCTTCCTGACCTTTTGGGACCAGTGTACAGAGGGCCTCAGCCCCTTCATCTGCCCGGTGGAGCGGGTGCACCTGGCTTTCTGCAGCCAGTATGGTGCCCGTCTTTCCCTGCGCCAGCCGGACTTAGCCGAGGCTGGTGAGTGGGCTGCCTACCTACTCCCTCCTTCCTTCCTTAGCTCCCTTGGGGAAGGCCCTGTCATCCCATACTGACTGGCAAGTTGAACACTGAAGAGAACTAGCGAGTGCTTGTCCTCAGAGGGGAGTGTGGACAAGGAGTCCCTGGGTCTGAGCTAGAACGGGGACATTCTCTTCTCCCTTAGAGGAGTGGGTCTGTCTCAACTCAGGGCTGTGGCACTGTCTCCTGCAGTGTGTGTGAAGTTCCTGGAAGACGCCCTGGGACGGAAGCTGCCGAGGAGGCCCCAACCAGGCCCCGGGGAGCAGTTCACCATCTTCCAGTTCTGGAGTTATGTCGAAGCCCTGGACAGCCCCTCCATGGATGCCTATGTGACAGAGACTGCAGAGGAGGGTGAGGCGGTGGCCCTGGCCACAGAACGCTGACCCCGTGGGTGGTCCTGAGGGCGTGAATGATGAGGGCAAAGCCTCTCACCCCAAGAGCTTTGCCAACTTGTCGTGCCCCTCCGCCCCCCTTCTTCCAGTGTTACTGGTCCAGAATTTGAACTCTGATGACCAGGCTGTTGTGCTGAAGGCCCTGAGGCTAGCACCTGAAGGGCGCCTGCGAAGGGATGGGCTTCGGGCTCTTAGCTCCCTGCTGGTCCACGGCAACAACAAAGTCATGGCCGCTGTCAGCACCCAGCTCCGGAGCCTCTCGCTCGGTCCCGTCTTCCGGGAAAGGGTGAGTTTGGCAGGGTTCTCTTGTGGATAAGGTGAGGGCTGAGGGCTCCCATGTCTGATTCTGCCCTCTCACCTCGCCCAGGCTCTTTTGTGCTTCCTGGACCAACTTGAGGACGAGGATGTGCAGACTCGGGTGGCTGGATGCCTGGCTTTGGGCTGTATCAAGGTGATCCCTGCCCACCTGCCTACCCGCCGCTTCCGCTGCAGGGCTGTTCCTACTTGTCACACTGACCCTGCCTCCGTGTTTTGTCCCCATAGGCTCCTGAGGGCATCGAGCCCCTGGTGTACTTGTGCCAAACAGACACAGAAGCTGTGAGGGAAGCCGCCCGGCAGAGCCTCCAGCAGTGTGGTAAGGCTGGGAAGTGGGAGGCGTGAGTTAAGGGGGCTTGGGGACACAGCTTGGCTACTGGGAGTAGGGTGAGGTAATGCCAGGCGTGAGAAGGCCTGGACGATGCCAGGGCCACTCTTGACCTTATCCTCACACGTTATAGGGGAGGAAGGACAGTCCGCTCACCGACGGCTGGAGGAGTCCCTGGATGCTCTGCCTCGAATCTTTGGGCCCAGCAGCATGGCCAGTACAGCGTTCTGAACTCTCCAGTCACCGGCTCCCAGTGTTCCTTCCCCCATTTTCAGGGCTCACCAGGCACTGGCAGGGAGGGTGAGGGCTGGTTCCAGACACCTCTCTCCACAAATTCCTATCAATGAAAATCTAATATATTCTTCTGTTACCCCTGGGGTTGGTAGAGTGCCTGAAATGAAGTGCCTCCCAGCCTTGGTTCTGCATATCCTTTGCCACAAATAGTGTCAGGGGCCTGGCCATATCTTACTCTGCCTCACCACATCCCTTGGTTTTGTATTTTATTTACAGAGTTTTACAGAAAATAAAAAAGCAAAATGCGTTTCCTACATGGCTTGCTGCGCTCCTGAACCTCTGCTCCGACACCTTCTGGTGTGCTCTTCCTGGCACTGCTGTGCCCACACTCCAGCTGTGACAACATCGTGGGCATTTGCCCTAGAAATCCGGGTGGAAGGAAGCCCAGAGTCCAGGGTTGTGCTTGGAGAAGAGACAGAGAAGGGAAGAGAGCGCTGCTGAACAGGCTGAGCCTGCAGCCAGGCTGGGAACTCCAGCCCGAGTGGATCTAAGCAGCTGGCCCAGAGAAGGCCCGAACTATGCTTATTCCAGACAGGCTGTGGCTGGCGGGCAAAGAGAAAGCAAAAGAAGCTGGCACGGGGTGCCTGAGCTGTGGCCACCAGGGGGCAGCAGAACGGCATCCGTAGGTGGCAGGCTTCTGTCGGTGGCCCTCTGACTAGGCAGCTTCCTACCGAGGAGCTCAAGAAGCGACTTGTGTGGGGAGGTGGGAACCCTCGCTTAGGGGAGGAGTGGGGCCTGGGAGACAGGAGACCCGGATGGCTGTCCGGTGAACCAAGACAGCCAGGTCCTTCCCTCCCTGAGGCCCCTCCTTCCCTGCAAAAACAAGCCTGTGAACTCTGTGGCCCCCAACAGCCCGCAGACCTGTGTTGAGGAAGTAGGGCTCCCCAGGAGGGCTTCCCTGCCTCCAACACAGGAGTTGTTAACCTAAGTTAGGAGACCTTTGGGAGGGACTGGAGGGTGGGGTGGGGTTTCGGGATGGCAGGCCTTTTCTAAGAAGGTCCCGAGAGATTTCCACACCCATGGCTAGAGAAATGAACCCTCCATCCTCCTGTCAGAATTTCCATTGTCTGGAGAGACTGGTCGTGCATAAGGTCTCCCCAGCTTGAGCGCACTCTGCTATCCCAATACCTGTGGTGATAGAGCACACTAGTGTGACAGACACTGTGTGCACAAAGCTGTCGTGGGGAGATGGGGAGCACTCAAGAAGAGCCAATTAGGTGTCAACAGTTTGCCTAGATGTGGTGGGGGTGACCCAGATCCCTGGGGAGCTTTACCCCAGTGTTTCAGAACTGCCTATGAAGAGGTTTTTGGCTGGGCCATCACCACCTGCTGGGGAGGTCAGGCTGAACAAAAGAAACGGCAACAGGAAACACCTGTGAGTGGATGCTGGCAGTTCACTATAGTCTGGTGGGGGCAGGGGGGAGCGGGGAGGGCGGGCAGACAGCCCTCACACACTGGCATGGCCGGGCAGGATGGAGGGCAGTTAGCTTTTTGGTTGGTCAGCTGGGGTAAAATGGAGTAGACAAAACAATCAGGTGACAGACCACACCACTGCCTATCGCTGGTCATAGTTTGGAGGCAAGTCCCAGAACCACCAGCAGAATCTGCAGGCCTGAAGCCACAGAAAAGGCCCACTGGTAGGGCAGGACTGTTCAGAGTGGGGGGGAACAGTGGAGTCAAACCTTGGCTGAGCAGGCCTTAGGAAAGTGAAGATGGTGACCGCCACCTCACAGCACAAACCACAGGACAGTGCCTGGCAAGGAATACAGGATGGGAGCATGTCATCATTCAATTCTGACCGTCACTGAATATCCCCGTCCTCCAAAACAGAAGGAACAAGACCCCTCTGTCTTCTACAAGGAGGGTCCTAGGCTTCTGTCCTAGCTGAGACAGGGTGAGGACAGGATGGATAGGAACTAGAGTCAGGGCACAGGGGGCACAGCTAAATGAAAACTCAAGGCCAGGGAAGGCCCCTCAGCCCTTTGCCCCTCAAGTCTTCTGGGCTCGAAGCAGCATGGATCAAGCACAGGACAACCACTTGACCTCTCAATTCGCAACGTGAGGTCAGGCTGGCGGGTCTCTTAGCCCAACAGCAGATCTTGGTCTGTCGGATGGTGGGAGGCGTACGCAGGGCACAGCTGCCTCAGAACTCTTACTTCCTACCCTGCCTCCTGCAGGCGGGGGAGACATTTGTTCTTCCGGCTCAGATTCAGGACAGTTGGGAGCCTGCTGCCCCAGGTTGGGGGGAGATGGGTGATATTATCAAGAGTCACAGCTATCAGGGCAAGGAAGGTGTGTGCCTAGAGGGGGCAAGTGGAAATGGGCTTCCAAGGCCTATAACATGCTGATGGGTCTCATCATTTAAGACCACCCAGGTCACAGCCATGTCTTGCTCACCATCTTCAGAACTCTGCACAGAGGAAATTGACAGGTGCATGCTGCAAAAAAGGAGCCAGGCTGAGGTGGTTCAGGATACAGTTTATTATTGTGTTGGTGCTGCAGGAGTTTCCTTCCATCCCTCTTTCCTCTGGCCCTCTTCCAACCTTACCTTTTCTTCTTGTCTCTCACTCTTCTTTCTCATGTATCCAAAGCTGTAGTGAACCAAAAAGAAAAAGCATGTTTATGAAGGCAAAGAAGCAGATGGGCTGGCACATGGGAAGAGGACTGCTTCTTTGTCTCCCCCACAGAGCGGGGGTAACTTCCTTGTACGGTTCTGAGCCTGGTATGTGGGTACAATTTGCTGGATACCAGCACATGAGATGTTCTCTGCTTTCCCACCATCCCCTCAGAAAGAAGTGTACTATTCAGGCCACGCATCCCCAAGGTTAGAAGGCTCTTGGCGTGGCTGGAGGGACAGCTCAGCAGTTAAGAACACTTAGTGTTCTTGCAGAGGACCTGGGTTCAGGTCCCAGCATCCACTTAGTAGTTCATAACCATCTATAGGTACATACATACATGCAAGCAAAACCTCGTATACATAAATAAATCTTAAAAAACAAAACAAATAAAAAACAGATACAAAAAAACAGGCGGTGGTGGCGCACACTTTTAATCCCAGCACTCAGGAGGCAAAGGCAGGCGGATTTCTGTGAATTTGAGGCCAGCCTGGTCTACTGGGTGAGTTCCAGGACAGCCAGGGCAGTTATACAGAGAAACCCTGTCTCAAGAGGTTAAAAAAAAAAGGTTCTTGGATGCCAGGCTAGGCTGTTCTGGACCTGGATAACTTGAGAAGGTGAGGTTGGAAAGACTCCAGTTCCTCCTCTAAAGTTAAGGAAGCACAATGTATCATTTAGAAAATATGGTTGTCAATGGCCTGCAGAGATAGCCATCAGTCTAAAGTTGATGCTAAAATTCAAGGCCCAGTTGCCTCTTAACTCATGATACATCCCAGGCACATGGACATACAGTAAATGCTGACTTAGGTCAGCTAAATAAGCAGCTGCTTTGCGACAGCTAACAACTATCTATGTTCTTAGCTAACTCCTCTACCTCTTCCTCCTCCTCCTCCTCCTCAGGCACCCCTTAAACAGCACTCCACAGAGTTCTACTCTCTTTAAATGCATGGCTTGCATCTACATTCTGAGGCTAATGTCAGTCATTCTGTTTTTATTTTATTTCTAGACCTTTGTGAATCCAACTCCAGACTGGATACTTCCTTTGGAACATCCAAAGCATTTCAAACTCAACAACTCAAAGCCTCCTCTTCATCCCTCTTGGACTTACTCTCCATGAGGATGCTTTGGATGCTTTATTCTCCATGCTTTAGAATGGTTTCTAAGACTCTACAGGCATTCTTCCCTTTACAGAAAACCCCAGCCTACTTAACCTCGCTCTCAAAACCCTTTGCGTCTAGTCCAGTCTGGATTCTCATTTCTACTGTAACTGCCCCCTCTGCCCTAGAGCTTTACTGAGCTATCTGCAGGGCTTGCCTACACCTGAGCCTGGCACCTCTCCTTCTGTGGTCCATTATTTTCACCTCTACATTGCCTTGCTCAAGCCAACCCCCTAAAAACTTTCAACTTAGACATTACATAGTTCTTTAAGAATTGTACCTCTCCTCTCCTCTCTCTCTCTCTCCTCTCTCTTCTCTGTCTCCTCTCTCTAAAGAAGGAAAAAGAAAAAGAAAAAAGAGTTGTACCTCACTATTGTAGAGTGACAAATTCTCCTAATAAGATTGCAGCCGGGCAGTGGTGGCACACGCCTTTAATCCCAGCACTCGGGAGGCAGAGCCAGGCAGATCTCTGTGAGTTCGAGGCTAGCCTGGTCTACAGAGTGAGACCCTGGACAGGCACCAAAACTACACAGAGAAACCCTGTCTTGAAATGCTGTGAATTCAAAGCCAGCCTGGGCAACACAGTGATTTTGAGGCCTAGCTGGTCTATATTACCATTCTAATGCATTAATCACATGCAACTGCAGTTGCTCTGGTGTATGCCTAAGTACCCTGATGATTCTACTAAGCAACTGGCACCACAAAAGTCTGAGGATGACCCACAGGAGTCTAATGGGTCCTTTCCAGCAGAGCTTTGTAAGTTCTTTTAGTCTTGTTTTTGAGACAGGGTCTCTCTCTGCAACCCTGGCTGGTCTTGAACTCAGAGATCCGCCTGCTTCTGCCTCTCAAGTTCTAGGATTAAAGGCGTGCGCCACCACTGCCCGGCACCGCCCCTTTAAACAATACTTTATTGGTAGTCTCCACACTATGTGGTTCAACCTCTAAAGTGTACAATTTGCTGGACATGGTGGTGCAAGCCTGTAATCCCAGCACTTGGGAGGCTAAGGCAGGAGGATCAGGAGTTTAAGGTCATTCTCAGCTACATAATAAATTTGAGGCCAACCTAGACTACTTGAAGTTCTGTCACAAAACAAAAAAGTTTTGGCTTCTTTCTTTCTTTCTTTCTTTCTTTCTTTCTTTCTTTCTTTCTTTCTTTCTTTCTTTCTTTCTTTCTTTCTTTCTTTCTTTCTTTCTTAACTGGGTATGGTGACACACACCTTTAATTCTAGCACTCAGGAGGCAGAAGCAGGCAGATTTCTATGAGTTCAAGGACAGTCTGTTCTACACAGTGAGTTCTAGGATAGCCAGTTACATAGTGAGACCCTGTCTCAAAAACAAAACAAAACATCAATTTTTGAAAATTAAACAACAAAGCATACAGTTCAAATCAGGCCTGATGGTGTAAGCGTCTAAAGCCAGCTACTTGGGGGCCGAGGTCCAACCCCCGCCCCCCCCCCCCACAGGTTCAGACTGCATGGGCTGTAGGTGAGCTCAAGGAGGCCACCCGGGGCTGCTCAGCAGGACCAGGGTCAGAACAAAGTTAAAAAGCAGGCAAACCTGGAATGCAGCTCAGTGGTCGTGTTTGCCTAACACTGGCATGATGCGGTTCAACCCCCAGTACTGTGATAAAGCATCTAATGCTCTATTAACCTAATGGCTTTGGGTATATTCAGAGTTTTATACCAAGGACTACAGTTTTAGAATATTTTTACCTACCCATAAGGAACGTTACTCCCTTTCAGCTGTCTTTCCCAAGGCTCCTGCACTCTCCCCCACACACCTAGGCCTAGACAACTAGAAATCTATTTTGCCCTATAGATTTGCTTATCCTGTCTATTTTTCATAAATGGAATCAGATTATGTCTTTCCAATTTATCCAGTTTTCAGAGCCATCTGAGAACTTCCCTGAAGATGATGAGTCTGCCATGGAGCCTGGCAATTACTATTTGATCAGCCTGCATTTCCTTGTTTTTGTTTGTTTGTTTTAGACAAGGTTTCATTATATAGCCCAAGCTGGTCTTGAACCTGCAATCTTCCTGCTTCCACTTACTGAATATTGGGACTATAAAGTATACACTACCATGCCCAGCTAGATATATCCCCTTTACCTCTAGTACCCAAAGCCAGATACATAAAAAGTGATCAAGAAATGTCTTTTAGGGCTCTTGAGAAGACTCAGTGGGTAAAAGCATGTGCTGCACAAGCCTGGCAATATGAGTTGGATCCCTGTAATTCACATGGTAGGAGGAAAGAACCTGCTCCTGTAAATTACCCTCTGATTTCCACACTCTCAAGCACAGACACAGGCACATATATAAATGATTATATATATATCACACAATACTTTATTGGTAGTCTCCACACTATGTGGTTCATATATATATATTCTTTTAAAGAAATGTCTTATAAGGCCAGGAGGGGTAGCTCATACCTCTAAGCCTAGCACTTGAGAGCTGAGACAGAAGGATTTTTTTGAGTTCCAGGCCAGGCTAGGCTACAATGTGGTATCCTGTCTCTAAACACAACAATAACAGAAATGCCTTTGGATGTGTATCTCTGCACTCTGTTACCTCTGGGCTCCCTATATCCAATTTCCCAACTTAAGTCTTACTCTATCTCAAATGCAACTTCTAAACATTTTGAGGATGAAAGTACCATGTTTAGTGTACAAGAAGCCTTAAAATTCAGCACATTGCCCGACGGTGGTGGCGCAAGCCTTTAATCCCGGCACTGGGGAGGCAGAGGCAGGCAGATCTCTGAGTTTGAGGCCAGCCTGGGCTACAGAGTGAGTTCCAGGAAAGGTGCCAAAGCTACACAAAGAAACCCTGTCTCGAAAAACAACAACAACAACAACAACAAAAAATTCAGCACATTCCTTAGGAGTATCACTTGTTTCCTGTAGCAGAATATTATTTTAAGGTGTGTTACTTTTGTTTATGCTGCATTTGTGTAACTCTGTGAAGCTGTGTTATTGTGCCCGTGTAAAACACCTGATGGTCTAATAAAGAACTGAAGGGCCAATGGCAAGGCAGGAGAGAGAAATAGGCTGGGCTGACAGGCAGAGAGAATATATAGAGCAGAAATCTAGGAGGAAAAAAAGAGGAAGAAGTAGCCAGAGAAGGAGGAGGACTCCAGGGGCCAGCCACCCAGCTACACAGCAAGAAACAGAGTAAGATTTACTGAAGAGAAAGGGAAAAGCCCAGAGGCAAAGGATAGATGTGATAAATTAAGGAAAGCTGGCAAGAAACAAGTCAAGCTAAGGCCAGGCATTTATAAGTAAGAATAAGCCTCCGTGTGTAATTTGGGAGCTGGGTGGCAGGCCCCCCAAAAGGGCAAAAAACGACAGTCTCCCCCCAGCACTACCTGTCTAGAGCATAAAGCTAGGTTCAGTTACTCAGGACGTACTTACAGACTAAAAATCATAGCTCCAAATACCTCTGCTATCTGTCTGCCAAAGTTGCCTGAAATTTCCATCATTAAAGCCCTTTTGAGATGGCTCAGAGGTTAAAGGTGCTTTCTGCTCAAGTCTGATGAGTTTGACTACAGCCCTTCCTTGAGTTGAAGCAGTAATAGCCAGCTTGTTTTGGGGTCAGAAATCCTTTTGTCCCTCCCAAACAAATCATGTGGAATTAAGGAAATGAGAGCTCAGTGTTCAGTGAAAGAGCACATGCTTAACCTGCATAAGGTCCTGTGCTTAATTCCTGGCAGAGACATCATCTCCCTTCTCCTTCCTAGGTAGCCTTGGAGCTATAGCATCATCTCCAGAGGACTACCATAGAAGCAGAAACGTTGAGCTAGGTGCTGTGGTACACACCTGTA